CAGTCCTTGAGACCAATGCTGTTTCAAAGAGTAATACTGACTATTCAAACATGGATAATTCCAAAATACAGGTCTTCACTCACATTAAAATAGCTATTGATATGGCATGAATTTAGGTGACTATTAACCATATTAGATTAGGTCGTACAGATTTTATAAATGCAATTCATGTACATTTCAATCATGTAAAAACAATAAAAGAACGTTGCTGAATTCTGCTAGTGTTAAGAAAAGAAAACAGAGAAAGGCAGCCTTCCCACCAAGTTTAAAAATAGAAAATCCAGCTCGTGCTGTCCATCTGGGAGCAGAGAGATGGTATTATTGTAGGTTTGTCATGTCTATTTCCACTTGAATTATTCCATTAAAGCGATAATTCCAGTATTTGTCACCAGATGGCACTGCAAGGACGTGATCCCGTAACCTCTCCTCGTGCTCCATTAGCGGCGCCATGAGGCCATCCCCCGGCACTCACAAAGATGCTCTTTCGGATCGCATTAAGCCTCTCCTCCTCCACCCCCTTATGTTTAACCCATCAGGCCTGCCGGCACAGCTATGACAGCTTTTAATATTCCTAGCCAGCTGGACTTGGTAAGAAAAGCTGGATAGTGGAGACCAAAACCTGCCTCAAGTTAATTAGCCCAGACATTGCCATGAGCAATACTGAAGGCAAACGCTGTCTCTAATGGCAAGAGATGAAGGTCCCACCTGTGTCAGGTCATGCACAGAGGTTTGCTTCAGTTCCATGGCCTTGCAATTCTGAGCAGGATCCCAGCTCAGGCTGTCAGCCTATCTGCCTGTCTCATTCCCTGCTTTTTCAGTGCAGAATGCTGTGTTTTCCCTTGTTTCCTTTCTCCTCTCAAACAGAGCATCCTGTTCCATGCCCTAATTTGCCTCTCAGTTCTAGTGCTCCCTGATACATTCTGTCATGGCCTGCCACTGCAGCTTGAATTGCATATACTGATCCTGTGACTCAGCGCAGATTTTAGGAAGTAAAATGAAATAAACCTGGAAGTCCAGAGATGTATTGAGCAATAAGCTACAGTTGCCTTTTGAGAAGTCAGTTTCAGCCCTATCACAGCTGTCATCACTGGAGTGCTGGCACCTGAGCAATCACATTGAAGTTGTGCAAAGGTAACTACGTGTAGTGTCAGATCTTCATTTGCAGATCAAGGTGTGTAGCATTTTCAAGTTCGCAGCATAAAAAGCTCTCGAGCTTCCTTTCAGAGGTCTGATGCATTCCTTGTATTCAGCAGGATGCTGATATTTGGTAGGAAAGTAATGCTATGATACAGAAAATTAAAGGCTAGGACAGTTCCTTCTGACAGTCTAATATGACAATATGACATAACCTGTCTCTGTAGCAGACAAAATGAAAAATACTGCTGATTTTCACCCCCTTTCTTTCTTTTTTTCTTTTTTCTTTTTTTTTTTTTTTTTTTTTTTGCTACTGAATGTTCTTCTCAATAGGGCAATAGTGATTGTACTATAGATACTCATGCATATGCAGAATATTGTATATATGCTAGTAAATTTAAATACAAAGCCATATGTGAGATGATAATCCAAAACAATACATGACTAAGAAAAGAGAGTCTGGCAGTACATGTAAAGACAGAAATGAAATGAAATGAAATGAAATGAAATGAAATGAAATTGCAAAATCCCAAAATTCCTAAATGAAGTGAAAACAATTAAATGGAATTGGAATTACAGGAATGAGCCGAAACTTCACAGAAAGGTCTGTCATTGAAATCTTGAGATTTCATTTCCTTTCATGAAAAGAAGGATTTTCATTTCATGAAAACAAATTAAATGAGATATCAAGGAATGAAGGGAAATGAAAAGACAGGGAAGGAAATATAATGACATGAAATTAAATTGGAAAAAATAATTCTGAAATTAGGCGAAAAAAATTAAATGGAATGGAAAGAAAGGAAGTGCAATGAAATGGGCTGAAACTTTGTGAAATTATTTTCATTGAAATGTCAAGATTTAATTTCCTTCCATGAAGTGAAGAAGTCATAACTGTTTTAAGGTCTTAAAATAAATTCCAAGTCAAACTAAATTATGTTAGTCAAAATCAGGGCTCTTTGTTGTAGCCTTTTGAACGCCAAGTTGAGTAAATTCAGGCTTCCATAAAACCCCTCAAGAATGACAATGAATGTAAATTATCATGTGATTATAAATGTTTCTCCCCCATGCTTCTGGAATCACTTTCATGTAGTTCAGCTACATTAAAAACGTTAAATATAACAATAACAGACTAATGGAGAGAGGCTGGAACAGCCTAGGATATCGCTTTCAATGATATGAATTTGATTTAGTAAGCCATAAAGATTTCAGTGGATGTTTATAGCTAAAGGAAAACATTGAGACAAGAACTTTAAGGGACCCTTTTTCTCCTTTGAAAATAATTTTTGGTTAACTGGTGTCAGTGCCAAGGTGTATATGTCACCAAGCCACCAAGACTCTGGGCATTTGGGGAGATAAACTCTCTGGGGCTCTTCTGGTGAATAATTAAATTATTGTGAAATGATGTGTTAATGAAGGTGAGGAAGTGACTGAACACAGCAGATATAAGATTCTTTCTGTGTGTTAACTTTAAATGCTTGACCACAGGGCATGTGCAAATAGCTCCTTCTCAAAAAAGCTAAAATAAGTGCAAGCATTATGGTTATACTGTGAATCTGACTAATTAAAATAGTGTATAGATCCATGAGCACATTAAGTATATATATTTTTTCAGATATATTTCCTTGTTTCTGGAAGGTGGAAATAATTTTTTTATTGAGGTATTGCAATAGTTAAGGAAAAGTAAGAATAGTATGGAATTTGTAAACACTCCTTTCTCTTCCTATTGACATTTTTATAGTACACAGGAAATTGTGGTTGCAATTTAAATGGTTGCAGCTTTTACTACTAACCTGATTTGGAAATCTCTGTTTGAAAACCACGACAGTTTTATTATACCGCATTGATAAAAACAGCCAGACTACCTGGCATCTCCTTTTTTCCGTCTACAGTGTATAGTCACCTAATTTCTAACATATATTTCACCCCTTTTCATGCTTTATTTACAAAGTTATTGGTTTGGTGTAAGTTGGTTCCTTTTTTAAACACTTGTGTCTTAACACTTGTTATTGAATCCTAAATATATTTCAAAGCATTGTTCTTTGGACAGTCAAGATGATTAGGCTTTAGGGCTCCCATACTGCTACTCTAATGCCTCCATCATGTTCCTACACTGCCTGACTTCCTGCCTTTCCTATGAGTAGACATCCTTCTCCTATCATCTGTATTTTCTGAATTTCAGAGGTTAAAATCTGCATTTAGCTTGATGCACTACACCCACAAGTCTGCTTCAGAAAGAGGTGGACTGATAAAGCTGGGAACTTGCGTCTTCTCAAGGTCCTTGAACAAGCTCAGAGATAGGAAGAAAGGGACAGATCTTTGTTGTACCTCAAGTGGTACAACTAGACAGAGGAACTTCAAATATTCCACAGTAGACAAAGTAACCCCCAAGCACCACATTCATGCCTGTTGTAATTTGTTCTTGAACATCATGCTTGATATTGCTTGTTCCAAACAACAGTGTATGCCACACAGTAGCTGAAGTAACGACTGACCTCATAACATGGTTTGGACTTTTTCAGTGTTAGAGTTCTATTAATGAAACAAATCTGAGAAACCATGCACTAGTTGTACTACTGGTTGAAACACATGAACCAAGCCAAGCAGCTACAAATCTGGCAGGAGAGCAAACCACAGTCTGGTGCTGCGGTTGGGGATGGGGAACATCCGCAGTCTTTGCTGGAAGAAGGCATGCCCGAGGGAGGAAACGTTTGACTTCACACCTCTCAGAAGAAAGTTGCCCCCTTTATAATGAAAGCTGTTGCTCTGTAAGAAGTTGTCCTGGAAGGAGTGTAACAAATCTGAGTGAAGGCCTCTCTTCACTCAGATTTGTCTCACACATCTGCTTCGGTGAATGCTTTTTTTGCCCTGTCAGTCTGCAGGTCCTCCCATGTGGCACAGCAGTGCCCGGACAGCCCTTCCTGGCCTGAGTCAGCCAGGTGTGGCCGGCAGGAGCAGGGCAGTGACCGTGCCCCTGTACCCAGCACTGCTGAGGCCGCACCACGAGTGCTGTGTCAAGTGTTGGGCCTCTTAATTCAGGAATGACACTGAGAAGCTGGAACTAGTCCAGAGAAGGGCAACGGAGCTGGAGAAAGGTTTGCAGAACAAGTCCTGTGAGGTGTGGCTGAGGGAGCTGGGAGTGTTTAACCTGGAGAAAAGGAATCTCGTGGGAAACCTCATCACTCTCTGCAACTGCCTGACAGGAGGGTGCAGCCAGGTGGGGGTTGGCCTCTTCTCCCAGGCAGCAGGTCATAGGACAGGAGGACATAGCCTCGAGCTGCCTCAGGGCAGGTTTGGGTTGGACATCATCTCTTCACAGAAAGGGTAATTAGACATTGGAATGGGCTGCCCAGCGTGGTGGTGGAATTGCTTTCCCTGGAGGTGTTTAAGGAAAGACTGGACGTGGCACTCAGTGCCGTGGTCTTGTTGACATGGCGACATTCAGCCGCAGGTTGGATTCGATGACCTCAAGAGGTGTTTTCCAACCTGATTGATTCTGTGGTTTTTGTGATTCCCTCAGCTGTTCCCGCCGCCGCCGCCTCAGCGTCTCTAGTGTCACGCCTGCCTCCCTGTCCCGCAGGGACCAAACACCCCAGGGCATCACGCCCGGCTGCCTTTCCCTCGGGAGAGACCCCAGCGAGGGGCTCCTCTGCCTGGGGACGCGCTGAGGAGACCGCTGCTCTAACACAACGCGGCAGCGCAGCCGCGGAATCACATCTGTCTCTAGAGGGGGACAGACGGGTCTCCGTGGGCCCGGGGCAGCTTCGGCCACGCGCGGGAGCGGAGGGGGCGCGACGGCGGCGGCGCGGCCGTGAGGGGGAGCGGGGCCGGGGCGGGGCTTCCCGCGGGGACGGCACAACTCGCCGGGGCTGGCGGCGGCGCCATTTTGAATTGGCTGAGGGTCGGAGGCGGCGGCTGCCGAGCAGGGTTCCGCGTCCCCCGAGGGAGAAGCCGCGAGGAAGGAGCGGACATGGCCGCGAATAGGAACTTGAAGCAAGTGCGGATCGAAAACAGCTCCCCGGCGGTGCCGCTGGGCATGGTGGGGGGCGGCGGCGGCGGCAACCTGAAAGGATTGCGCGGCCTAGAAGCGGAGAGTGAGGCGGCGGCGGCCATGGCTCTGGCGCCGAGCAAAGAAGGCGGCGGAGATGAGGAGCGGGAGGTTGGGTTCACCATTGACATCAAGAGCTTTCTCAAACCTGGCGAGAAGAGCTACACGCAGCGTTGCCGGCTGTTCGTGGGGAATCTGCCTACTGATATCACCGAGGAGGATTTCAAGCGCCTTTTCGAGCGCTACGGGGAGCCCAGCGAGGTCTTCATCAATCGGGACCGCGGCTTCGGCTTCATCCGCCTGGTGAGGATCCGAGCGGCCCCCTGGGGCTGTCGCAGAAAGCGAGAGGCTTCGGTCCCTCGCCCCCCACCCCCTTCCCCTCCATTTCGGCGGGTGTAAAAAAAGGCAGCATCTGCCTCTCTTCCTCCTCGCTGCTAGCGCAGGTCCCCCTGCCTCTTCTTCCTTCTTTCCCCTCCCCGTGCGCCTCTACACATGCAAGCCAGACCCTTGCATTCAGAGGAGTCTTCCCAGCCCCTGGCGTTTCGGTCCCCGCCTCACCCCATGGCACTTAATACAGTTAATTTTAGAGAATGGACAGGATTGTTTCGAAATACAGGTGCTCGCACGTCGTGAACACGGAACATAAAATCACGTAATTGAGAAGGTTGCGGACCGCGGGTTGTTTGAATTACTTGTGCCCGGATAAGACTAGATTTTTAGGGGTAATACAGTATTTGATTAAACATGTTCGAGTTAAGCATGCAAAAAACGGAATCATTCGAAAAGTTTATGATATTGTATTTAAATGGTAATTTAGTATGCGAGATTAGTTTTCACGATTGCTCTGTTTAAAATGCACAGATTTGTATCATTCTGGGAATAGCTTTGGCGTGCTTTAGGTGTCTAATCATGATTTTTCCATGTATTTTACTGGTTAGAGTTTTTTTACTTTTTGGTTGTCATCTTAAAATACTTGTGGCATTCTGCCATGCATCTTTTACCCTGAGAATTCCCCGGCCTGAAATAGCAGTTTTATGGAGGAAGTGAGATATGCTTACATCTCGTTACTCGTTTTTGTGTGTAATAGAAATTAGATAGAGTTTTTATGTGACCTTCCATTTTCCATTAAGTTTAGGGAATATATATATATATGTTTTAACAGCTTGCCTAGCCTGTTGAACTGTAAAGAAATATATAAAGAATTTATAAATGTCAGGGATTGCATGTATCCAACCTGATGAAGATTTTTGAAGTGAGAAAAAAGGTAGTTGTTGATTTACACAGTCTCACGGATGTGGGTGCAGAAAGCCCGTTAATGTGAGAGGAATGAATAGAAGAGCAAAGAAGGTAATTTCACCATTTGTTGATGAAATTTGAATTGGACATTGAACATTGAGGGCAAGCGCGATATTTTCACTTATTTAAAAACAAAACAAAACCCCAACCCAAAATACCTTAGATCCTGTGATGTTTGAATACCTTTTCCTGCTGTGGGGAGCCAGAGATTTAGAATATAAACATTTGAGTAGGTAAACGTGAAAAGTATCAACTTTCCAACTCTACTCAAAACCTTTATAGAGCAGTAGCATCATAATGAGAATCTCTTAAATCCTCTAATAGGCAAGAAAAAATTTGCATCTGTGTTGTTTTTAGAATAAACCATAAGGGGTAATGAATGCATTTTTTTCAGTGGGAGGACAGAGACTTTGTTGATTTGTTTGTTGGTTTTTTTGTTGTTGGCTTGATGTTTTGGCTGGAGGAAGCAAGTTGAATGATCTTGTTGCCAATATGCTCAAGTGAAGGAAAACATCTTTGCTGCTTTTTGGGGGGGGCACACAAAAGTGATACTTGCCGTCTTTGAAAAGAAAAGATATAAAATATTTTCTATCTCTATAAAGGAATCCAGGACCTTGGCTGAAATAGCAAAGGCAGAACTTGATGGTACTATTTTGAAGAGCAGACCGCTTCGAATTCGATTTGCTACCCATGGAGCTGCCTTGACTGTGAAGAATCTGTCGCCTGTGGTTTCCAATGAGCTGCTGGAACAAGCATTCTCGCAGTTCGGGCCGGTGGAAAGAGCGGTTGTTGTAGTCGATGATCGCGGCAGAGCTACAGGGAAAGGTTTTGTGGAGTTTGCAGCAAAACCTCCGGCACGGAAAGCTCTAGAGAGGTGCAGTGATGGGGCATTCTTGCTTACAACGTAAGTTCCCAGGTTTTTGTTTGAAGTTGTGAGTATATCTTCCCGATGGGAGCAAAAGTTGCATTCATGGTATTCCCTAGTTCTTACTTGGTTTTCAAATTCTCTCAAAGCCATGAGGTTAGAAAAGTGTTTTGCATGAATACCACAAATACTCTTGTTTTGTTTTTTAAAGAAAACCATCTTTCTCTGCTTACTGTTTATAAGATTTCTTATTACCATATGAGAGTCTGAGAGCAAAATTCTCGTTTTTTTTCTTGCTCATATGTAATATTACTTTTCCTTCTCTATATAATAAGGCATTTTCTGTTGAGACTTTCTTTTCATTGGTTGCAGTCTTCCTGATCCCAGTAACAGTGACAAAATAATATTCCTTTATTTCTTAACAAATCAGTGCACGACATTGCTGATATTTCTGTAGACTAAAGAAAGTGTTTATACCTCAAAAATCATCTGTGGCTTGTAAGGCCAGGATTTTCTCTCTGTTTTAAAATGAAGACTGAGATTCTGGAGAGGTTGATATATGTACTAGTGATATTTGGAAAATAATCTATTTCAAGGACAAGCAAGCTTGCAATAGCAGCACTTCTCCTGCAGCTCCTATTTCTGTACTTGCCAGAGAGTTGTTAATTGCTGCACTTTACACATTCACAAGTGACATTTTCAAATGCTTTCTTAAAAACGGTGTGAAATGATACATATTTATGATTTCTTTTTATTTCTGTGATTCTCATTGGGAAAATAAGGCTGTGGTTTCACAGCATGAAAACTTGCTGCCATTAATTGGGTTTGGAGTTCTTTTCCTGCCCTGGCTGTGCTATTCTTGAACTTCTTGACAATTCCATAAGCCACTTGTGCTTGCTAAAACAACAGAAAAGCATTCATTTGTATGGGGGTCCATTGCAGTCTGCTCAAGCACGGGAAGGTGCTTGCTGATGTCAGGTCCAGCAGAGAATTAGGCAGGAGAAAATGTTGCCAGGAGGAGTTGGCAGGTGAGTAAGGGCTCTGGGACTCCCAGATCTTGTGTGCTGCTGAACTGACTTGATGGTTACATAGTAAATTTAATCTGAATACATCTTTACTGTTACCGAGAGCAGCCAGCAATTTGTCCTTGTTCCCTGGGTCCTCTTGGCATGAGTAACTGGATGGAAGTGTGGTGAGCCAAACAAGGGAAGTAATGTAGTTCAGTGTTACTTTGGTGCTATTCCTGGCGTGAGAGATGTGGCAGGGAAAAAGAAGCTGGGATATGAGGGGAGAGTATTCTTGTTTTGCCAGTTGGATAGATCAGTTGGATTGAAATGACCACCTAGCTGTGTCCTGAGTGAATAAAAAGCACTTGATCATTTCCTTGCTCAGGTGACACGTTCCCTAAGGCACAGTTGCAAAGATAATTAGCATGAATCTAAAATGCTGCTAATGTACTTTGATGTTTTGCTTCAGAGTCTAAAGTTGTACCTTTTTAAATTGAAAACTCTTTGCCTAATCACAACATTTTCAGTTCCTGTTTAAATGTATCAAAACTAGACATTCAAAACCTTAGTGTTTTAACATTATTGTTTTACATCATAACATGTTAGCACCACAGTTCAGTTGCATTTAAACAGCAGAGCTGTCAGCAATTGCCGTGCAGATGGCATCAGTTGTGGTCTTTCATTCTGGGCTTCATCTTTTTAATGTGAACTTGATGCACAGAGTTAAATATATTGGAGGTCATTGGTTTTGTTTGATTTTTTTTTTTCCTGGTTAGGGACTGGGGCAGTAGGGGAAGATCTGCAAAGTGAAATAAAGACATGGAACACAATAAATGAGTGCTGATGTTTTGAAAATTATGTCTCTCTAGTGCTCTGTGATTTGTAAGCTCTGCTCCAAGGACTGATGCAAAGAGCTTTTTACACAATTCAGAGTTTTTACACTGCTCTCTTTGGCTCATGCTTGCCAAAATATCAAGGAAGCTGTTTTCAGCTTTTCAGTCAGGATTCTAATTTGTGAGTGTGTGGTTGTTAAAATAATGGATTTTAAATAACTTAAGTGGAAATGTTTTTCTAATTATCGCTGTAATATTGATACTAAATTATCAAGCTGTTTTCAGTTCTAGAGTAACTTGCAGAACTAAGTTGTAGAAGTCAGTAGAAATATGAATAGGTTGTGCTGCTCTGTTTTGGGTTTGTTGCTTTCCCAGTACAATCATGGCCTCTGTGGTGCCTCACTGATAAAAACAGAAAGGTAGTTCCTTCCTAAATATTTTGTAATTATTGGTAGATGGTTTTGGTATTTTAAAAAAGCAATCAGAACTGTGTCAAGTAAGTTGTGGTTTCTAGGCAGAGTAGCTGAATTTGGGAATAAAAACAATTCTTTTCTGAGGGTAATTGTTAAGATTGGGATTCATTGGAGTTCTGAGATTTAAGACAAGACACAGGAATTACATGTTAGTTTCCTGGAGTGTTTCTTCAAAATGCTAAAATAACTTATAACTGCTTCTTTAATGATTCAGTTATTAAATTGATAATGTTTTCCAGAACTCCTCGACCTGTTGTTGTAGAACCAATGGAGCAATTTGATGATGAGGATGGACTCCCTGAGAAGCTAATGCAAAAAACACAACAGTACCACAAGTAAGTTGGTGGTTTTTTTGTAAAAGATTGTTTATATACGTAGTTACCTTTGTAAATATACACTGATTTTTACTTTTGAGTTTGTGTAGCAGGGAGTAGTGCTTTTGTGTGTTGTGCTGTTTTGGGTCAAAGGATTAAACAGGACCTTCCCAAATTTCCTAATCGTGGTAAAATTCAGACTTGACCTGTTAGTTTAACATCGTGTGCATTTAATGTAGTAGAGAGATTCTTGACCTACACTGCAGTCAGTAGGAGCTTGTTGCCAGTCTTTTATGGATTAGAGGTGTGGTCTAATCCTACAGAGATTCTGGATACCCACAGATCCCTATGTTCTCTGCATAGCCCCTGAACTGTTTGCAGCCTCCCTGGTGTGTAAATCTTTGCAGCTTCCACAGTTGAGGTAAAACTTTGAGAATGACATGAGAAAGTGATTCTCAATCATGAGATTGAAGTCCCCCTATCTGAAAATACTAATTTTTAATATTGTAATTTGCCATTCATGTTGCTTGAATCTAAAATGTTGATTTTGAGACTGTAGAATACCACTTCTTAAAAATTTGTCACTGTTAGGTACAATATTAGTGTTAGAATGGGAAATGTGGGCTCATTTTAATGGCTGCAGATTCCAGCTATTATTCTGGGCTGTCTAGTAAGCATTGATATTTATCTAAATAACTAGTTTAGTGGATTGACTGCTTGATTTAGAAGGCTGAACACTGTTAATCTGGTGTTGCAGCTTAGTGTTTTGTATTGATGTCAATACAAATTTTCATCTTAAATAATTGAATCTTTATTTGGGCAATTTTTGGAAAAGTGTCTTTTTACTTATGATTTAAGCTTTAGTTTAGAATGTAGTCATCTGACAGGTTGATAAAAAGTGAGATCTACACTTGAAGTGGTTGTGTTGTGTATACATTCCGTGGCTGTTACAGCTGTTGATCTAAACGTGTCCTTCTGTACCTTTTTACTGCAAAATTTTTATTAGGGAAAGAGAACAGCCTCCACGCTTTGCTCAGCCTGGAACATTTGAGTTTGAGTATGCTTCACGGTGGAAGGCTCTTGATGAGATGGAAAAGCAGCAGCGGGAACAGGTTGACAGGAACATTAGAGAAGCCAAAGAGAAACTTGAGGCAGAAATGGAAGCAGCTAGACATGAGCATCAGCTAATGCTGATGAGGCAAGGTAAAACCAGATCATTTACCGCTATGGAAGTTGTTTTGTCACAGATGGTTTTTTTTGTGTAGCATATTGAGCTGTATACTTGGACCTTTTGCTGGTCACCATTTAATTAAATGCATTTAACTGAGAAAAAGGAAGGAATAATTCTCTGTGCACATATTCCTTGATGATTTGCAGAAATTAATTAAGAATTTTATAAAGAAGTGATTGTCTGTTTTCTTCACTTCCTAAATTTATCTTTAGTAAAAATTTACTTAGCCTGTTTTTCCTGAACAGGCACATGTGCTCCCAGTGTGGAGCCATGCTGTTTTTATAAGGTCTTGTACAGAGCAGAAGGTCTTATGCAGAAGATAACAACATAAAAGCTTACCTATATAATAACATGAAAAGCATAAGGTCTTACACAGAGTGTAATAACATAGAAAACTGTTTTGAAATGCCAGATAGTTGCTGCGGCACCTGAAATGGCAACTGTTTCTTGGTTTATTTTCCAAGAAAAACTGTTGAAGCATTGTGTTTCCTTGTAAGCACAGGTGTGTATTAGAGGTGAGGAATGTGCATGTTAATATGATCCAAGATTGCTGCTGACAATACACAGTGCAGCCCTCCTTGGCAGCTGGACACACATTGTAAGTTTTGTGTGTATGCATGACTGAGATTTTTAAAGATGGTTCAGTGCTTAAATTACAGGTTGGATAAATCTACTGTTGACTTATCTAATAGTTAATATTTAACAGTGCTAATAATCCAGTTCCAGAACTCATGCTCTTTAATTTCCTTTGAGTTTATTCACCTGTTGCTTGGATTTGAGGGCAAGATTAGAGATTACTTTGTCTTAAATTCATGTCTTAATTATGTCTTAAGCTGAGATAAGATTATGGTGGCCTCTTCATTAAGATAGAAGAAATGGTAAAACATGGGGAAACATCTTTGTGTTTTTGGATATTAGGGTTTCTTTTAAGGACAACATAAAGGAAAAGGTATTCTGCTTTTTGAATATTTGTGAAATGCCAGTTTTGTATAAAAAAGAGAGAATTATTCCTTCCATTGGAGAGCCACTAAAATATGAAAGCATGTGGTGCTACTATTGCAGTGAGGAAATACGTCTCTTTTAGTGTAGGAGGAGAGCTTTTCCCCCTCTTAGTTTGGTTAGCAGAGTACCTCTTTTGTACCACATAACTCAGAATTTTGTTAGATAGTTGGGTTTCTTCTTGGTTATCTGCTGACACTTAATTTTCAGAGTTCTAGAGATCAGTAAGAATTCCCTGTGTTTTAACCTTCTCAATTCTTCAGCTTCAGTATGCATGAAAATAAGGTGGTTTTTTCACTTGTATTTATTTTTGGAGATACCTTCCTCTTGTAGCTCTGAACAGTGGGTCTAAGTTCATGCCATGCCAAGAATATTGCTGATATTAATTGCATGACAGGATTGCAATGCTGTGATTGCATCACTGTCACTCTTGTGCTGAGAATGGCACAGGAGCAGGCGGCAGGCAGTATTGTGGAAAGAGCAAAAGAAGGCTTTATTCAAGAGAGGCGTGCAGTTTTTATAGAGTGATATGATACGTTCTGTTTGGTTGGCTAGTTAACAATAGCACCTTTCTCATACTCCGTCCTTGAGAAGAACAGAAAGATGAAGCAGAAAAACACCACCTGCAGATTGTTTATACTTAACAAGTTATCACATCCTTGCAACTCCCTGAAAGTTCTCAAAAGCTGCTGTGAGAAATATTTGCTGTTTCTCTCTCTCTGTCCCACGGCATCCACACATCACAAGATTGTGTAGAAAGATGCAATGAAGTTTTTAAGGCACCAGAACCTAGAATTAATAGTTTTGTATCCCTGGTGCATGTAGTCAAATTTAAGGATGTATTGAAGTCATTATGAAATATGAAATAAAATAGAAAATGTCATGCTTTAGTTGTGTAGGAGTTGAAAGGAAGACAGGAAGGATGAGCTTACTGGTCCATATACTCTAGCAGGTGAAGGTTTGTTCAAACTGCTCCATGAGAGCTAGTAGGACTGGAGCTCTAGAACGCGTTGGTTTGAGTACTCAGGTTTTTGTGGTGTGGTATTAATTCTGAAGGTAGATTTAATTCTTCTGATACGTGTAATTTTTCACTTTGAAGTGTCATATTTTGACAGACTGAGTCAGAAGTAATTTGTAAAGCAGAATACATGTTTCCATGTGTAAGTAAATTGCATGGTATTTCTGATCTATGTACTGGTGGTATGCATCAAACATTTGTAAATATTCTCTCGTAATAATGGTTAAATAGATTATGAAAATACTGGAAAACGTGACTGAATTTAACCAGAAGCTTAATTTTTGTATCAGTTACATGGAAACTTGGCATTTATTTTCCATCTTTAGAAAAATCAGTAGTTAAAATTGCTAAAAGTCTTTGTGGAGTTGATATTCCAGTTTGTAGGATTAACTTCTGAGGTGAGAGAACACCTTCACCTTCTGCTGTCTGCTATGTTAGAAACTTGAAGATAAAACAAAGCCCTTGTCCTTTTATAAGCACAAGAAAATGCAGAGGCTAATGATAATGCTCTCTGTTTTCTTTTTTTCCCACAGCTCCTTTAGTGCAGATTTTTTTCTGCTCAGAGAAAGGGCCTGTCAATAAAGAATTACCATCATTACAGGTCCTTTAATATGAATGGCTCTTGTGCAGAGTTGGAACCTCTATATCTGTGTTTTCATCTGGCTTAGTAAGGCTTTCTGCCAAGATTCAGCAGTTGTCAAATGATACTGAATCATAATTTGCTATGTTGAACTTTCAACATACTAACAATTTCAGGAAAAGCAATAAACTATGCTGTGGAGAAAAATTAGGAGAACAATGAGAAAAGTAGAGTGCTGCACCTCAAGAACAGAGGACAGTAAATGATAGTAGTAGAGAGAAAGTAGAAAATCTTGGTCCTGTGTGCACAAGAAATAGGGAATGCTGTATAAATTTGGAAGAACAAAGAACTAAAAAGGAAGCATATTTTCCCATAGTGGACAGTGTTGTGTACAAGTTTGAGGAAACCTATTTGCATAACTAAGAAGATATTTTAATTAGTACAGTGAAGAATGTGTAGAGAAAGAGTGCAGACCAGTTGAACTAAAGCATGAAAGCCATGTAATGGACAGTATTGGAAAATGTTCCTTGTGGTTTCTATAAATAGTATCATGTGGCAAATATCCTATGTAGTCAAAAAATAAAAAAAACCTGCTTTCTAACAAATGGTAAAATTCATTGAAGAAAGCAGAGATTTCCAGGCAGAAATCAAGAATGTGACTGGTCAGCAAAAGTAATTACTGTGAGTTATGCCCTGCTTTTTAAGGACATTTGAAGTTCTTCATAGGAGGCTATGGCTGTGCCTTTTTTGTGGGGTTAAACTACTAGTCATTTGTAAGTTGCAGTAAGCAGAGCAATGATAGAGCTTCGTGGAGGTTCAGCCTTCCTTCATGCACCTGAAATTCGTATCACTTCCCTTGCTCTGATGTGTGCCATGCAGGGGTCTGCAGTAGGTAGTGGAGAGCATAAAAGTCCATAAATATTGTAGTGGTTTTCTTGGCAGTGGGACTTTAGCAGTATAAAACCTTGTGAGAAAATTGATGCCCTGTCCTATATGTAAAACCAGGATGTGATTTAAGGGATTAAGAGAGTTTTTTTTCCTTTTTCTTTGAGAACTTAAAACTTCTGTTTCCATAACCTGCTCTGGGGTCTTTGCCCATTTTGTACTTTTCTATGTTTGTAAGCTACAGATCCGGTGGTTTTTTCAAGTACGAGACTTAGCTTTATGGAAAGAGATGAGTTAAATGCATTGAAAATTTGGTTTAAAACATTGAATGTTAGAACTGTAATCTGACGGTAATAACAAATTTTGTGTTGCCACATGAATGATTGACAGCTTTTATATTTAAATGCACTTTTAATCCCGTTAGATCTCATGCGTCGTCAGGAAGAATTGAGGCGCTTGGAAGAGCTTCGAAACCAAGAACTTCAAAAACGCAAGCAGATACAGCTGAGGTATTTTGTCTTCTACTGTGCACAGGTGTTGCATGCAGCCACTGTAGGCCTGCATGAATTTAGATATGTTAGCTAAACTGGCTTCTCAAAAGCATATGTCATGTTTCTGATAATATAATGCAATATAAAAGATTATTTTCGAGTGTTGCTTGATTTTTTTCACTTATTTGAACTCTGCTAATTTTGTTGTAAATTTCTGAGATGTCTAAATAGCATTGAAATGTCAGCCTATTTTTTTGTTTCATATTTCTTTTAACATGACCAGAGCATTGCTGTAATAGATAGGAACATACTTCTAAATTTTATGGGCAGCTGATCTGCATGTAGAATCATAGCATTGCAATCTTATAGTCTGATAGGGGATTTTTGGAAGTTTTTTCACTTGATATTCTAGTTGTTGAAAATAGTTTTTCTTTTAGGATTTGATTCATGCAAATAATTGTTTTAATGCCTCTTCTAAAGTTTAAGAAAATAGGCATAGTCTCTTCATATTGATTTATACTTTTTGTTAAATATCACAATAAATGTCAATAAGATAAAAAGATAAAACAGCACAAACACATCAGTAAGTGTCAATAAGATAAGATAAAACAGCATAAACACATCTCAGAATTAAAAATTGTGTCTTTTGGCACTGTTGAAATGTTTTAATCCATACTGGCTTCTTTAAAACTGGAATATTTTAACTTGTTTACTGGAAGAGTAGGTATAGAATGTATTGGTATTGAAATTACTTGTATTCCAGTAAAAAAAAAAACAACAACAAAAAACAACCGCAAACCAAAACTTCAAAAGTACTCATACTCATCAAGTTGAGTAGATTAGTGCCTTGCACTGTGCAAAAAAATAAATAATGGCCAGTTTTTTTAATATGCTTGATCTTACCTCTGAGGCTGAGTGCAAACCTAAACAGGCCAAGAGACTAAGCTGACATAACTTTGAAAAATACCCTAGACATGAAGAAGAGCACAGACGTCGGGAAGAGGAGATGCTTCGCCAGAGGGAACAGGAGGAATTACGACGACAGCAGGAGGGAGGATTTAAGCCAAATTTCATGGACAATGTAAGTACAGTTCTATGGTGAAAGTCCAAATTGCAAAAGAATTTTTTCATTGCATTATTTTTACACTAGTTATTGAACTGACATCTTCTTGTTGGCTGTTTTCAATTCAGTATTTCACTGTTCCCTGAGCAAATGGCTGCATATTCAGTAGTGTAGTTACTCTTTTGTATGATGACATCTCTTGCATTTTTCCAACAAGCTAGTGATGTAACACTTCCATCAAGTGAAGGTGCTCAGATACTAATTTTTTTTACTTGGGAATTGAAATGTTTCAGTAAAATAGTTTTTCTGAGTGGGTGGTGATAGGAATCACCCATCCTGATGTGCCCTGCTCTACCTGAAGGTTTAAATTTTAAACCAGTTAATGCTGCTAAGCTTGTTTGAATTACTGGTTTTGGTTTATGCTTAACTTACTAAGAAAGTTTTCAGAAACAAAAAGGGCAATATTAATTTCATATGGAGCCTAAAATCACTCTCCCTTTTGAACCTGTGTAAAACTAGATGAGGAGCACATCCAAATCATTACTAAAGCAGACTTAAAGATTATAATGGTGAGGGAAAATTTGTCCTCACTATAATCTGTACGTTATTTATATTAGTAGTTTAGGTATGCTCTGCCTCTGAAGACTCATCCTGCAGGACTAACAAAATAGTGCTATCAGAGGAGTCAGATTCTAAATTTTTTTGGTTAAAGGGTATGACTTTTTTTCTACCAACCACGTCAGTTCAGTGAATGCAAACTGTGTTGCAAATGCTTTAGTTTCTCTTGAGTAGGATGCCTTTTACTATAAGAGCTATTCCTAGTGAGGAAATAATGAAAAAGCAATTCACACAATGCTCTTTTACGTTATTAAAACAACTGTAGTTTGCAGGAGGCGATTTTGCTCCCCTTCACAGGTGCAACTTCATACATCAATGAGAAATGAACTGGTTTCTCAGCTACTTCCTGTGAAAGAAAAACCTGATTTACATTCTATACCATGAAATTTTCTGTAGGGTTGTGAAGAATTTATTATGTATGTTGAGACATCCTGAGAGGTGTTAGAAAATAAATTATTTCGTCTTGTCAACAGGACATTTTTCCCCTTGTCTGTCCCTTAGTTTTTTGGTAAAGATGGGGAGGAAGCAAAATAGTTCCTTTGATTTTATTAACAGGTGTGATTTGGTTTTGCTCACTGTGTTTTGAGGGACTCGCATCCAAAGCAGATGGTAATTTATTTCCATATGTTCTCACTGTAAAAGAAAACTGCTTTCAGCACATCTTTTCTTCAAGGAAATGAAGACCAAGGATTCAGAACTCATACTGTCCTTTAGTGTTTTCCAGATATTATCAACCGTAATTGGGGAAATAGCATGTTACAGTCGTCTCATGTAATTTAGAAATAGCACTTACTGATGACTTCTGTAGTGCCAAATGTGAAATTTCACATCACTCTAATATCCTAATGTAGCATCTTTTGGGGTTGCCTGACTTTGTGACCCTGTAAGCTACTTGTCAAAACCTCCTGGCTCCTGTGTGACCCGTGATTCTTGCTGTAGGGAGCTGCCGTAATAGCAAACTGGAGAGCCAGCCCACAGCTCTGGGAATGCAGTAGCTCCCTCAGGTTCCATTGCTGTTAGGAAGCTGTGGCCTGTGTTCTGCAGCTTGGAGCAGGGAAAACTAGATCATGTTGGCCACCACAGCCTTTACTGGTTTATTCTTACATCTGTCTTGAGATAGGAATATTTAATCTCTGTGCTTAAATTGCTTACCTCAGTTTGTCCATCCTTGTTGCTTGTCTAAATTTTTAAATTCCAAACCCTACACGAATAGAAACTGTTAAAGTTGGTGTGCTGGGCTTGGCAAAAATGTAGGATAAAAGGCGGAGAAGAGTGGTTCAAATGGAAATCACTTCAGTCATTATGCATAATTTTTATGGCTTTTATATGTAAATTTTTTTTGAGGTGAAAGGTAGAAGAGTGCTTTGGAAGAGTGTAGCTTTGCCACTCTCATGCATTACTGAAATGGTGTGTTCATCTGGACCTAGTGAATACACTGCAAGAATATATACATGTAGTTTTGCAGTAACAGCCCTACAAGAAGCTTTTTAAATTAGATATAAAGGACTGTAGAGTACAGGTGTTGTTTTTTAATCATCATATGAAATTTAAGTGGCATATACAATGATACATAATGAAAAAATGTATTTTTAAGATTATTCTTTAGTGTTCTGGTTATGTCTTAGGTTTTACTTCTCACGCTCTTTAAAGCAGGAAAATTGAAACAAAATAGCGAGTGATGTGTTTACTTTCTTTAGCAACAGTTTTTAATCAGGGCAGCAGTTGTGACTACGCATTTTTTAGATGCTTGTTTTAAGAGGTATTTAGATAACTAGTTGTATAGTGTGAATGAGAGTTGAAAAAGCCTTTGCATTTTGCAGCAGAGAAAAACTGTAAGCTTTTTCTGGAGATTGCAAACTGACTCATGAAATCTGATTTCAGCTTAGAATTTCTTATACAACTAATTCGTTTTTATTTGTTCTTACAAATACTTGTTTACTGTGAACAGATTCCATCTTGCACTTACTTCTACTCTCAGATTACTACTGTACATGTACTGGGAAAGTTATTCTCTATTTTCAGAGATTAAAAGTTGACTTTTGGTGAGAATTGCATTTTTTGATACTGTTGGATAGTACTGTTGGATAATTTTTACCATATCAAGTCTTGATAAACTTTTCTGGCATTATACCTACAACATAGTAAAGTCTTCTGCCAAAAATGTATTTAACAGGACAATAATAATTGTTTCTAATCATTGTTTTTGTTTCTTAAAAGCTTTGAAAAGTAAGCTTCCTTCACTTACATCCTATCACTTTTTACTGGTCAGTCTAAAACAGGAAGATAAATGGTAAGTGCAATGGCAACCAGAATTGGACCCTCTCATGTAAGGCTGCAGTATTAGGCTTTCCTATTGAAAGTTTCTATCTGTGTCTTTTCCCTAACTCATTAAACTTGGATTTATTAAAATTATAACTACTTTTGAGAAACATCTTGTAATCAAGTTTAATGCAGGTAGAAGTTATTTGATTTTATTACAGATGATAAAAATATTATCTGTGAGAGGATTTATTTTCCTGGAGCATTCTTGTTGCTGGTGATGATGAACATTAGAAATTTGATTGCATTGATTGTTAATATAATGGGCAGCCTGATGATGCCTAAACAATTTATTATTCTATTTGTGTGCTCTCTACTAGATAAATTATGAATAAATACTTTCATATTGGTTAGGGGTTTTCCCTTCCTTTCTACAAGTCAGTTAGTTGAAATGTGCTGTTATAGCTCAACAATTTATATGCATTCTGATTTCACAGTAGCTTAATTGGGAAACTAATTTTCCAGTAGTATTTTGCTAATTTTTATTTTGCATACATTCTTCTGGCTGAAAGAGGAACTTGATGATGGTGATTTATTTTGCAACAGCACAAATATTTTTTAAATAGAAGATACTTCTGAGTGCCAGTAATACATTAATTACTCAAATATGCAATGGTTATTATCCAGTTATGGATGGCTTGCATTGGTTTACATTGTTGAATCTCAATCAGAGGCATTCTACAAAATAATTCCTGTTCCAAGACCTGCTTTTATTTGTGTCACCAACTTAGTGTTTTGGATTTAGTGTATTAAAATAGTTTCTATGTGTCTAAAACAGAGACCAAAAATATGTAGGAGTTGTAGTCCTGGTTTTATGTGGATGGATTTACTTCTGTAGTAACACTGTGAAATAGTGTTGGGTGGGTATTGTACTTAGTGAAGCAATAGCTGTAATACAGCCTTAAACTTACCTCTCTTCTTACTGGTAGTTTAAAGAGGGAACTGAGATTTTTGGACATCCTTGCCTACTTCCCTCCAAGGAAAACCCCTTTTTGAATGTGTAAGGGACTGTTTCCTGAGATTTCTTCAGTTTCAATTTCTGAATGCTTGCTGGTTTTTTCATGTAAGACCTTTTCGTTTATTAAATAGTTTTCTTTTGAATCTCATACTCTTTTCAGGAATTATTACTAGATGTTGTTTTGCTTTCCTTTGGTTTTTCTTGCAGAAGCATTGCTCTCAAGTATGGTGAGTAATTATCAGCATAACGTGTCAGCTGCAAAAGCAGTGGAGATGCTTCAACAGCAGGGATTGTAGTGGACTTGGATCAAAAACTGTAAGACAGATGAGAGCAAGGAAGTAAAAAGGCACATTGCAAAACAGCAGTGATGTTTATAGCTTCAGGAATGCTATCACAACATAGTTTTTGTTCTAAGAGTTTGGTCTTTTGGAGCAGTTTATAAATATAGTTTTCCATTTCTTACTGTTTGGAGCCCTATGGAGGCATGTCTTATCCCTCACTTCTAGGTTCACTTGCAAGTTAAGCATTAGGCATGTTTTAAACAAGACTGTCAGATTTCCTTGAACTTCAGTAATTGAGGACTAGATTTTTCACTTCCTGCCTGTTTAGGAGAATAGAGTTGTGTTTTGATCCTATCTTTTCATAGTGTTGTGCTCAAAAGCTCCAGTAATGTAAGCAGTTAGAATTTTCACTGAGTGGCGAATTTTTTCTTACCTAACTCAAAACTAAACTAAGGCAGATGCCCAATAATAAAATAATGAAACATTTCTAAGAATCTTTTCAAATGTGATAAGTTTTCTAACAATTAATGTTGGTTATTTTATCCTGACAGCCTCGTATACTGAATGAAGCTAATGGTGGTGAAGTTGTGTGAGTTCATATGAATAAAATCTCAGTTTCTTGCTGCTTTATAAAAGCTCTTCTGTAGAGTGGGATTGGGTGAGATGAATTGCATCCTTACTGCAGTCCAGCATATACATAGTTCATGTATGACACCTTAAAGGCTTTTTAAGGTAAAACTAGCTTGGAAAAAGACAAATCATTAAATGCAGAACTAAAACAACACCAGCCTAACAAAATACTGCTTTTCTTGGCAGTGGTTTTATTTCAGTGATCAAGTTTC